TTTCCTCATATAATTGCTATTTAGCCAAATCATCACCACAATTCACATTTATTTATCACCAAATACACTTGTAATAGTATTTTAACCTAGTCTTACAATATTTCGCCAAACATTCTCATTAGGCCAAAATATTACAAATTCACTATAAAAGTAATTAAACATATCTTAACACATTTTATGATATACTAGCACTTGTATTAGTATTTTAGCCCATCACCACACATATCACCACATATAATACAATTCATGGGTTAAAATACATCACAGCATATTATCATACAAGTGCAACTCAACAAGTTTATACATTCCTAATTGACAACCCAAAATATTATACATTCTTAGTTATATACATGGAACTACTTTTGTACATGCTTAAACCCATTAATAAATACTGTAGACTATTTGGTTGTTTCATCTCTTTTGTCACTAAAAAGGTTACTTGTGATTCACATGTGCTCTTATTGCTTCCTTAACCTCAAGGAGGTCTCAACTACTAAAATCTACAATATATGCACTATATGTTAGCTTTCAAGCCTAATATGAGTATATCTTAGCTAAATTTAGTTAAGTTTAGTTACTTAATAATCCCTAACTTCTATCGTGGAGCTATTCGAAGCTACAACTACTCATAATATCTTTATTTAGCAATAACAAGCTAATTTGTATCATTACTTAGCTCCCATAACATCAAAACTCTCAAATTATGACTAGGGTTCATTCAATCCTTCCAATCTACCACCCAAATCTTCATGTTAACACTTATTTAACTCAATGAAGCTTAAATCAAACTCCACAACCACATACAAGGCTTAAGGTTTGAGTATAATCCCCCTCTAACTCATAACCTAACCAATCTTTCTTTAAAATCTAAGAAAGCTAAGGTAGATAGGTGGAGAAGATTGTTGGTAAGCTTACCTAGATAATTAGGGGTCCAAACAAGCCTTTAACCTTAGCCAAATCCAAAAGACTACAGATGAATTTTTTGCCCTTGTTTAAGCTGTGTCAATGTGAAGTCAGTTGCTCCTTAAACATGTGAACTCTACTTGTTTATGTATGGAATTGATTAGAGTTACAAAGTGTTGAGTAAAGTATGGGAGAGACAAGTGCATATGAGGTCGATTGTCTTGAAGAATTAGCCAATGTGATTGAAGGAGAACTTGAGAATTTTTCAAAGAGGTTAGAAAGGTTAAAAACTAATGTAAAGACATCTTTGTATAAAGGTTGGAGCTTGAGAGTAGTGTTTGGATTTGGAGAGTATGCAAGAGATTGAACTGCAACATGAACAAGGATAAAGGCAAACTTGTCGGAGGGCGTTTGATGGACAAATAATGGTGAGACAATGCTAGCAAGATAAGTTTCAACAATAGTAAGCAAAAGGAGGAGTCCATCATGGAGGGATTAGAGATGGTAATCTGGGCGGATCGAGTTTATTTGGATCGAGTTTAAAGTGTCTATTTCTTTTAAAAAGCCATATAGTCAAGCTCTACCCTAATACCTTTGGGCTTCGGGTTTATTCAAAAAGGCCTAAATACTCAAAACTTTTTAAACATATTTTTTCTTTATTTTTTAACCAATTTTAATTTTTAAATAATTCTGTTAAGCATGAAATATTATTTTAACATTAAAAGAATAAAATAAAAAATAATAAATTATCAATTTTATACTTAAATTGCTTTGTTATTATTTTGTTGTATTATGTGTAATTTATTCATAATGTTTTCTTTACTTGTAAATTAATATCTTAATTGTTTAAATATTTCTCTTATCATGATCATATATAAATATTTTATATATTTTAATTAAATTAAATTATTTTAATTATGATCAAATTAATCTCAATTCAATTATAGTTATACTACAAACATAAAATTATTGTTTCAATTAGTTCAAAGTTTTTAATAATTTTTGGGTAAACTGTACTTTTTGTTTTTAAGAATATAAAAAAATAGTCATCATTATATTATATAAGAAAAATCATTCAATTATGAGTAAAATACTATTTATTTTGGAAATATTTTTTCTTTAACTTTTTATATTATTTAACCATATAATTATTTAATAATATTATTTTATTTATTATGTTTATTTCGTAGCAGAGTTAGGAATTCATATATGCTCGTATTTTATTTTTAAAATTATTTTTAATTTTATTTTTACTTTAAAATTAATTATCTTATTTTATAAAAATATAAAATATCTTTTTTTGGATACACAAATGATATATAGAGCTCAAAACTGTTTTTTAAAATGGGTCTTAAAATATAAAAATAAATATTAAAATATATTTTAAATATTATTTTGAGATATTTTATAGATTAAAAATAATAATAATATGAAAATATAAATATTATTATTTTTTTAAAAATAACCATAATAATGAATTCAAATATATAGCATTTTAGTATTAAATGACATAAAACATAAAGAATTAATTAATATTTATTATATTTTATATATTTTTAAAAAATTATTTTTATTTGGCTATTCGAGACAAGTTTGAACTCAATCGGGCTTGGCTTGAATTTTGTTGGGCTAACCCAAATAGACTGAACATTAAAAAATTAATATATTTTTAGATTTGATCTTAAATCTTTTGGGCAAGTTTAATTAACCCATCGGACTTAGTTCAAATTATTGACTTTATAAAAAATGAAATATAATAAAATAAATGTGGGCAAATATTTGACTTCCCTCCAAAAAACTCTAATTTGGAGGGGACCAATCGGAGAGGAGGGAAGGAATAAATTTTGGCTCTCTTTCCTTCCACATTTCTCAACCAAATAAGAGGAGGGTAGCATTTTCTCTCCCCTTCCCTCTTCTCATATCTCCTCAAACCAAATACACCTTTTTTTATAGCCTCTATACTCATATTTGAGTTAGTTATTATATTGTATTTAGAGTTAAATAACATTTTTGCTTCTCAATTTTTTATTTGAAAATGTTTATATTCTAAACTTACATGTGCACAATTTGTCTTTCAACACTTTTGGGTGCGAAAAGGGTGCATTAGGCACCTGATCAGTAAAAAAATTAACTCCATCAATTAATTCATTGAAAAATTAAAAAAAAATCAAAATTAAACAAAATGACTTATAAAATTAAACATAAGTCCATATAAAAAATTAATATAAATTAAGTCCCTTGAGTTATATATAAATAAATAGATACAAATGTTATTTCTTACTCATGTAAAAAGATAAAATATAATTTTGATCAACTATTATTTTAGGGACTTAATCAATATTACTTTCTTACCCATGTACTTATTAGCAATTTTATGATTCATTTTTTTATAATTTTTAGGTCATTTTTTTGTAAACTTTCAGTCAACTAATAATTAAAATTAACTTTTTAAATATTAAGGTGTTCAATATACTATTTTCAAATGCTAAAAGGCAAAATTGCATACGGTGATCCCTTTTATTTATTTGTTATATAAGCAACTCTACATCAATACATTATTCATTAATCCATTAATTCTATTAATAAATCAAGAAATTAAATCATGAACTTGTAATTTAAAATTTTACAATAACAATAATTTTTAGGAACCATATACATATATAAAAATGTCATAGTCTATCTAAAATAAATTAATTTATTTTTAAAAATTTAAATTAAAAATTATGTGATTTTATTTGATCATGGTATGACTTGTATGATTGTATGATACGACAAAACATATAATCGTTCTTTAGAAACAAAAAGAATAACCTGAGAATGACAGGTATTGAAAGTTGAATTAGAAAAAAATCAATTAAATTTAAATAATCTATTAATTAAAACTTCTTTTTCGATGAAGTTAATACTTTTTTTATCTCATATATTTAAATCACTAATCTACCTTCATGGAAAATGTCATTGAAAATTGAATCAACTCCATTATCGAAACAACATTGACAACAAATACTTAAAACCATAATTAGTCTTTATTATAATTATAGGAGTTGAAGATTAAATTTAAATAAAAAATGAGAATTATCTTGCAACATTTGAATATATACGACCATTTGTTTTAGCTTATTTTATAAGAAAATAACTTATTTTTTTGAAAAAAATGATTTGCAAGTTTTCATAGGCTTATAACCTATGATTAAAAAAGAAACAATTTTTTGATAGTTTAGATATAATATAAAAAGATTTTATAAAATACAGACATTATTTTATAGTTTGTTACATAATAATAATAATAATAATAATAATAATAATAATAATAATAATAATAATGATTATTAATTAATTATTTTTAAATTTTATAATATCTTACTTGATTTTAGTTTTATAAAAATAATTTATTATTATATTATTTTAAAATTTTATGATATATTTGCATATCTTTTTTATTGAAAATACACACTCTCATCCACTACATTAAATTATTACAAATGACTTTTTCAAATAATCAGATATTTGAATTTTTTAAATTTTGATTTTTTAAAATTTTAAACAAGCATAAAAAACTCACAAAATAGATTTTTTTCTTAAAAAAGTGACTATAAGTTTTTTAAAAAAAGTAAATAAGTTTTTTTAAAAAAGTAAGTAATTTTTTTTATAAAATAAGCTGGAACAAATGAATTCATAAGATTTTTAAAATTTTAAAAATAATTAAAATAAAAAATTTATAATTATTTTATAAAGCTATTCAAATGAAAATAATATATGAGAGAGAATGTTTTTAAAATGTGAAATATGTAAATATATAATAAAATTTTAAAATAATTAAATAATAAATTATTTTTCTAAAATAAAAAGTAAGAAAGATGTCATAAATTTATTAGTTAATTATTTTTTTATCCTAACTAAACATAAAATAATTTTTATGTAAAGTTAATTTTTTTATAAAATTTTTAAATTATCAAAAATTATCTATTTTTTTAATCTTAAATAAACGGATAAATGGATGGGAGGTTACGTTTCCTCAAGATAACCGAAACGACGTCGTGTTCTCGACATCACCCCCGGGGCGGTTGGACGTTTCAGAGAAAACATCATCGTCAAGATCAGGGTTCTCTATTACGTGCTAAATCCCTAAACTTCTATTTGATTTTGACTTTCTTCCGTGGTTTTGTGCTTCAGAGCAATCTTCTTGCTTCGCCTTCTCGTCGCCGCCGGACACTGTTGCTTCTGTTCTTCTTCTCTTTTAAGTCTGGTGACGCGTTGGACTGCTATCTGGTGTCTAGTTTCCTCTGTCTGGTCTTCTCTTCCGATGCAAATCTCGCCTTTATGCCAATCGCCTCCTCACCAGCTGCCGCAAAACGGTGTCATGCGACATTAAGTTTCGATTTTCAACATTTATTGATTCGAAAATGCGTCTGACTTTTTACGTGATCAGACATTGTTAGTGGTCCTTGTAGCAGCTGAATGATTATAAAGGGTAATTGGACTATATTTGTTTATACGGTTTTGATAAATTTCCTCACGTATGTAGTGCTTGATTGAAACATATCTAGGGTAACCATTGGCTTGCTGCTGTCCTATCCTAGATTTCAGTTGTTTACAAAAGAATATGGATCAGATAATAGGATTTCCGCTTTATCTATCTTTACTACTGTTGTCAATTGTCTTTCCTGGGCTATCTTTATCCTAACTCTGCTTGATCGCTTCTTGCCTGGTGAAAAATGTGTAAGCTGTCATGTCGTGGTTTGCAAACTAGAAGCTGGTAAAGCAATTGTGCTTGATATTTGGCTCTTTAATTGTTGGGTGTGATATGTTAATAAATACGGTGATAAGCATGTTAATGAATGAAGAATGCAACGATAAGTTTCTTTCGGTCTCATATTATACACAAAGTTGTCATCCAGCATCTTACACGCAGGCCTATCTTTCCTTTTTGTTTCTTCTCTCCCTCTCTCCCTCTCTCTCTCTCTCTCTTTAATTTCCGTGTTTATATATATAGCCCATCTTTTTTGTGCCAAAGCAGGAGTTGGACCAAGCTGTGTATAGTTGTACTTGTTCCAAGCAGTATTTAATTAGTACTTAAATTAAATTCAAGATGCCTTATTCATTGAGCCAGGTTTTTAATTGTTCCATTTTTCCCAGATTTGTCCATAATCCCATAACACAAACACATGATAATCTATATAAAGTTTATAAATTGGTGCAAAATTTTTACATTTTCAGTGACATAGTCGTTACTGGGCTGGCTCAGACCCATACTGGTCTGGCCCGCCAACTATGCCAGGGCAGCTCAGGCCTCAGGTTGGGCAGGCCAAGAACTGTAGCATAGTGCATATCTGGGGCACGGCACTGGGTCAGGACAATTCCTAATATGGTCCAATCCATGTACCCCTACTTGCAGACATGTAAATCCAAGCATAATTAATTACTAATTCTTAATATTAGTTTTTTTTTTGCCAAAATTAATATTAGTTCTCTTATTATAAATATTTTCTCAAGAATTTCCTGGTGGATATCTGGTTATATGGGAATTTTATTATTGTATGGTATAAGCAAAGATGCTGAATCATGTTGGGTTGACTATTAGATTTATGCATTATTGTTGAGTCACTTTTATGGTGTTAAATAGTTCACGCACGATCATTACAGGTGGTTAAGGCTCTCCCTTGGATTATGATTTTGGAGACAGACTCATTTGTTGCTGGGCATGTCAAATTTGCTTAAGGTTTTATTTTTTGTAATCCTGGAGGCACTGATGTTAAATAGTTTGGTTTTATTTTTCATTTGGATACCTATACTATGAAGCCTGAGAGGATTTTGTTACTGAAACCATCTGTTTATTATGTTTGATTGTGATCAACATTTATTCATGCTCTGGCCAACATAGATTTGGTTGTGCTGTGATGTGAGTTTCTTTTTATTTGTATTTTGATTTCTGGATACCCAAACTATTTTGGGCATTGACTCATTCTATTGTTTTATACTAAGTTATATTACTGTGTTTTATTCATTGGCATGGTTCCTATTAAGATACCACTTTATTAGACCATCTAAACCTTTTTGCTCCTCTGGATTTGCAGGTCCTCCACGTCTGGATCTGTTTTGGGCATGTCATGGACATTTTCTAAACATAAAAGAAGAGAAGTGCCTGTTCATTTAGTTTCTATTCACAGGCTAGTTTCTAAACATATGTGTATGAGATGGGTTCTCGAGAAAGGCCATTTTTTGATCTCAATGAACCACCTGCAGTGTATGATGATGAGAAGGATGACCCCTTTTGTTTTCAGCCTCAGAAGACACTCCCATTTACAAGTCCCCATGCTCCTGACTTGAATGTGGCATCAGCGGAAATCCAAGGGGTAGTAAAAACTCAGGTCTTTTTGCATGCATCTTCTTTCTCTGAAATTCATCCATTTGTTCGGTCTAAAACCACCTATGTACCTGAGGAATATGCTGAATTGGTGGGAGCAGATCAGAAAACAAAGAATTATTCGTTATCTAAGCATGTTAAAGATGAGGATATGAGAGTCATGGAGCCAAAGGCACTAAGTTCTGCAAATTCTCAATTTGTGGAGAGAGAAGAAGGGGAATGGTCTGATGCTGAGGGCTCTGGTGATGTGAATGTCTGTAGTAATTTGCTTCAACAAGGCAGAACTTCTGAAGAGCAAGCCATATCTGGAATGGCAGAAGGATGTGTTGCAGTAGCAGTGGGCAAAGTTTCTGATGGTCCACCTGTTGAAAAGAGTAGTTACGCTTCTATCAATGTTGAAACAGGTCCCCATGAACAGAAAATTAATGGTATCCAGAATTCTGAGTGCATTGTAAAAGGTGAACCTTCTGCAAACACACCAGATGAACCTAGTACAATTCCAAAGCAAAAAGAAGTGAAGGGTATTGAAGCAATCCATGCACTTAGGTGTGCAAATAATCCTGGAAAGAGGAAGATGGACCAACGCAAAGAGGAAATGTTGGGTAAGAAACGTAATAGGCAAATTGTGGTTCTTAATTTGGAAGATGCAATGCAAGCAGGTCCTATTAAAACCTCAACACCAAGAAGGCAGGCTTCCTCATCATCTGCTGTAAATCGTGGTGTAAAGGAAGTCCATAATATTCCTGCGCCAATTGATCGTGTTGGAATAGTCAAGGATCACAAACAAGTTGACATATCTTCTAGTGAAGGAGGCTCCCATGCTGATGCTTATGAACCTAACTGTAATGGTGATATTTATGAACAATTAGGTTGGCCTAAGAGGCAAAATAGTGAACATGTACATTCCGTAGAAGTCAATTTGAATCATGTTTCAAGACAGAGTTCATGGAAACAGTCAACTGATTTGAGGCAGCAGAAAAATGTACAAGTTTCTAATAAGAAGTTGGTATTGACTGGTCAGAGCTCTAGTGATATGAAGCCTGGAAATAAAAAACATTTTTCTATCAAGAAGCAAACTCCTGTGACCACTTTATCTCAGGACACGTCAGTAGAACGCCTTATACGGGAGGTGACCAGTGAAAAGTTTTGGCATCGCCCAGGTATCAAGTAATTGAATATTTTTTCAGTGCATGTTGTGTTAATATTCATGATCTTGTTGGATTTGAATTTTTAGTTCCTTTGCAGTCAAGTTGTTTCTGATTTATCTTATTGTTGCTCCCTTCCTCCAGTTATCACACTGTGAGTGTCATAACACTTGAGAGACTTCTAAAGGTGATGACAGTTGTAATTTTTAATGAAGCTTTGATTTTAAATATATAGCTACTGTTGGTTTACATGAATTTTTGATGTAACCCAGTCACCAACATATGCCTCTTCCGTGTTATGGTTCTCAAGGTGGATTGTTTCTTCATAAAGAAGAAAAGATAACAGATGGAGGGGTAATTTAGATCTTCACTTCAATCTGCTATATTAATTATCACAATGGCCTCTCTACATGTTCATTTTATTAATTCCATGTTGTAATCAATGCATGAAAGCCAATTATATTTGTTCATATTTGGATATTAGTGGCCAGTATTTGAAAATTATGGGTCAACTTAATGTTCTGTGCACTTGAGCCATTGTTTTAGGTTGTTACTTGTTGTCCTGAACTTTTAGCAGCAAGTGCAGTTACAATGCAACATTTGCTTCATGTGTATAGTTGCTAATCTATTTGCTTAATGTTTGTTAATTGGATAATTTTATGAATTATAGGACTGCTATCAGCCTGTTGCTAAATAAGTATACAACAACAACTTCTTATCCCATTAGGCAGGATTGGCTAAAGGGATTGTATGACGCCATTGTGATCTATCATATACCAAGTTTTTAGAAATGTTGTTAATTAACAGGTTTTCGTCAACAACTTGCAAAAGTGTTCTCTTTGACCTTCCTCTACCCCTCTTAAGAAGGCTCAGAGTTATCCGTTCCACTCTCTTCGCTGAATAAATTATTATTTTTTATCATTTTGATTATGGAAATGAGAAAACTATATTTTTTTTTATCCTTGGTCTGCTTTTTTACCTCTTATTTGAGTTTTATTTGACATAGGTCAACGTCTGTGAGGATGTTTGATACTTCTATATGCATGTTGATCAGAATTTGAATATAAATATACATATACATGCATGCATCTATATATAGATGTATCAAATGTTGGATGGTTTCAGTCATAGATAGGTTAAAATTGTCTTAGATGTCTTAGACATGTATGATATCCGTGCAAATATTGCTGGTTCTGGATCTTAAAGATCATTGAAGCTGTGAAATCAGTGAAAATAAGGTGGATATGAGATTATGTGTGAGTGGAAATGATGAATTCAATGTTATATTGATACGATTGATGACAAAATATATAATCATATATGTGCTAGAAGAGAGCTTAGCTAATAATAGATCCTAATGTTAAAGGTGCTTGCCTCAGTGCCTAAGGCGCAAAGGTGAGGCGCTAAACAGGGCCATCACCTCTTGTGGGGTTAGTTAGGCACGTGCTTGAGAGCGCCTTGCACAAGCAAAAGGTGCTCGCCTGAGGGCGCCTAGTTGAAGTAGGTTGAATAATAGGGGAACGAAAGATGAGTAGATGATGATCGACTACTGGGCATTGAAGAAGAGATGAAGACAGCCGGCTGGGACTGGGTATTGAAGTGAAGAAGATGACTGATTGGGTCTGGGTATTGAAGAGAAGACAATGACCGACCGGAATTGAGTATTGAATAAGAGAAGATGAGGACAAGGACGATGCTGACTGGGTATGGAAGAAGAGAAGATGAGGACAACATCGTCTGTTTTAATCAACTTCTATGGAGTAACATATTGAAGAAGACAATGGGTTTGCTCTTTTTTTAATAAATAACCCATTAAAATATGATAAAATTTGATAAGTTAAACAAGGTAAAAACAAATAGGAAACATTTAATTTTAAAATGAGAGAGGAAAATTACATAATAGGAAAATATTTAAATTTAATACATGAAATAATCTTCGATTGAAATTTTAAACATGATAGTGAAATCACAGTGACCCTTGGAAAATTTTCAGGGAAATTTAATCCCAACTTATACTATTTAGGTTATAAAAGAGAACCTATTATAATTCTTTAGAAGCTTAGAATAGAGCAACAACACCTAGAGGCTACAACACATGGTAGTGCCTTGCTTCATTCAGGCGCTCGCCTTTCTAGTGCCTCGCGCCTAAGGCGTTTTTAAGGCCTTGCACCTTGAGTGTGCCTTTTGCCTTCAACAACCTTGATCGATCCATTGTGGGTGATTTTTGTGAGTGTCACTCATGGTTTCATTTGGCTCACTCCTTATGTTTGTTTGTTGGTCAAGGCTTTCGCTTGCTGTAAGTGCTGTAGGATGTAAGGTAAAATGCAAATGCTGTTGTAGTAAAATGACCTGTCTTAAACTTTTTATCTCTCTAGCTACTGATACAGTATTTGTTAGTACTTCTGTATAGTTTATCTTTTCACTCATTGATAGCTAATTGGAAAAATTTGAATCAGAGGAGACTGAGCTACAGTGTGTACCGGGCCAATTTGAATCAGTGGAAGAGTATGTTAGAGTATTTGAGCCTTTGCTTTTTGAGGAATGCCGTGCTCAGCTGTACAATACGTGGGAAGAATTAATAGAGACAGTATCAAGGGATACACACATAATGGTTCGTGTGAAGACCAATGAACCTAGAGAAAGAGGTACTTTTTACCATTTGGTTTTTTTTTTCTCCTTAGAATGGCATTTTCTTTTATTTTATTTTTAAATCAATTTTTTTGGGTTAACATGTTCCATTGTCAGTCACTTCTTGATATTAACCCATATTCCATCTCTATGTTGTGAACTATGTTCTTCCCAAGTTTACACGTTTTAATGTTCTTGACTTGTAATTCGCTGCCTGTTTTTGACTTAGCCTTGCTCCAAAAATTGATGCTTTTATTTTTATTATTATTATTTATTTTTTTGTGATGGGAATTTCTTTTACTTGATTTGTTTTCCTAATATTTCTTAGGATGGTATGATGTGAAAGTTCTTCCAGTACATGAAACCAAATGGACATTCAAGGAGGGTGATGTTGCAATTCTTTCATTTCCAAGGCCTGGTTCAGGTTTGTGGTCATATTTCTAATATATTTTCTTGTGGAATTCTTTAGTCCGATTGTTTTGATAATGGGACTTTGTCAAGCAGTTAGAGCCAAGCGGAGCAGTGCATCTTTACAGGGTGAAAATGAGCCAGAGATTACTGGACGTGTAGTGGGTACAATTAGGCGACACATACCCATAGATACACGGGATCCTCCTGGTGCAATTCTCCATTATTATGTTGGGGACTCTTGTGACCCAAGCAAGTAAGTCTGCCCATTATAGATCTTTTTTTCTTTTTATTTATTTTGGTATGTGTTTTTTAAGTTCTATTCTTTGTTTACTTGTATATGGTGGTTGTTTATGACAGGGTTGATGATGATCATATCTTAAGAAAGCTTCAAGGAGGAAGCATATGGTACCTCACTGTGCTTGGTTCTCTGGCTACAACACAGAGGGAGTATGTTGCTTTACATGCATTTCGTCGTTTAAATGTGCAGGTATAAGCTGAAATGTGTTTTAATGTCTAGTAGTCATGGTTCAACAATATTTAATTCCTAGTTATTAATGATTTCTCATTTTGCAGATGCAAACTGCAATTCTACGGCCGAGTCCTGAACATTTCCCAAAATATGAGCAACAGACACCAGCTGTTCCGGATTGCTTCACACAGAGTTTTGTTGAGCATCTGCATAGAACCTTCAATGAACCCCAGCTTGCTGCAATCCAATGGGCAGCAACTCACACTGCTGCTGGTACAAGTAGTGGGACCACTAAGAGGCAGGATCCTTGGCCCTTTACCCTTGTTCAAGGGCCTCCAGGAACAGGAAAGACACATACAGTCTGGGGAATGCTAAATGTCATCCACCTGGTGCAGTATCAACACTACTACACCTCCTTGCTTAAGAAACTAGCCCCTGAAAGCTACAAGCAAGCTAACGAGAGCAATTCAGAAAATGTGCCTATGGGATCAATTGATGAAGTTCTTCAAAACATGGACCAGAATCTTTTCCGTACTCTACCAAAATTTTGCCCAAAACCAAGAATGCTGGTCTGTGCTCCTTCCAATGCTGCCACTGATGAGCTTCTTGCGCGTGTTCTGGATCGTGGATTTATTGATGGAGAAATGAAAGTTTATAGGCCTGATGTTGCTCGAGTTGGGGTTGATTCTCAGACACGTGCTGCACAGGCAGTTTCTGTTGAGCGTAGAACTGAGCAGCTTTTGATCAAAAGTCGTGAAGAAATTCTAGGGTGGTTGCATCAATTAAAGAATCGTGAGGCACAGTTATCTCAGCAGATAAGCTGTCTTCAAAGAGAACTTAATGTTGCTGCTGTTGCTGTTTGTTCACAGGGGTCTGTAGGAGTAGACCCTGATGTTCTTATGGCCCGAGACCAGAATCGAAATACATTGCTACAAAACCTTGCAGCTGCCGTTGAAAGCAGGGATAAAGTATTGGTGGAGATGTCTCGCCTTCTTATTTTAGAAAGCAGGTTCCGTCCTGGTAGTAGTTTCAATTTAGAAGAGGCCCGTGCTAATCTTGAGGCAAGCTTTGCGAATGAGGCTGAGATAGTTTTTACTACTGTCTCTAGCAGTGGTCGTAAGTTGTTCTCACGCCTTACCCATGGTTTTGATATGGTGGTCATTGATGAGGCAGCTCAGGCCAGTGAGGTGGCAATTCTTCCTCCTCTCTCTCTTGGTGCAGCTCGATGTGTTCTTGTTGGAGATCCCCAGCAACTTCCTGCCACAGTTATCAGCAAGGCAGCTGGCACATTGATGTATAGTAGGAGTCTCTTTGAAAGGTTCCAACAGGCAGGGTGCCCAACAATATTGTTGTCTGTGCAATATAGAATGCATCCTCAGATCCGAGAGTTCCCCTCCCGTTACTTTTACCAAGGACGCCTTGCTGATAGTGAGAGTGTGGCTAAGTCGCCTGATGAGGCATACTACAAGGACCCTTTACTTAGACCTTATTTATTTTTTGATATTAGTCATGGACGAGAGTCTCACCGGGGTGGATCAGTTTCTTATCAAAACGTACATGAAGCACAGTTTTGCCTCCGATTGTATGAACATCTCCAGAAAACATTGAAAACTTTGGGCGTAGGAAAAATCAGTGTTGGAATAATTACTCCTTACAAGCTGCAGTTGAAATGCCTCCAGCGTGAGTTTGAGGAAGTGCTAAATTCAGAAGAAGGGAAAGACATATATATTAACACTGTAGATGCTTTCCAAGGTCAGGAACGTGATGTCATTATAATGTCTTGTGTGCGGGCATCCAATCATGGGGTTGGCTTTGTTGCAGATATTCGTCGGATGAATGTTGCCCTTACCCGTGCAAGGAGAGCTCTTTGGGTATGGATCTCTTCAGAATTTGTTTTTAATGATAAATTCTTTCTTGCATTCACACAGAACAAATGTATACTTTTGGTGAGCATTGAAGTTTGTTAATTTTTACAGGTTATGGGAAATGCTAATGCATTGGTGCAGTCCGATGACTGGGCTGCATTAATTGCTGATGCAAAATCCCGAAATTGCTTAATGGGCATGGACTCTCTTCCCAAGGACTTTCTGGTTCCCAAAGTACCAGCTTATGCACCGTTGCCTGGCAAGGGTTCTTTAAATACAAGGAACTTGAGATCAAGTGGACCAAGGTATAGATCAATGGACTTGCAAATGGAATCCAGGCCAGAAACAGTACCTGAAGATGAAGAGAAGACAGGCACATCATCGAGCTTCAGAAATGGGTATCATCGCCCCTTAAGGTATTCAAGGGAGAACTCTGGATGATTTTTAATAATCCAGGTGATAAATCTAGGGATGGCTGGTGTTTTGATGGAAAAAGAGACGTTTATCCAAAGTTCATTGGCAAATTCTCCTCCTGTATCTTGAGGGATCCTCATGGGCGGTGATTTGTCGATCATGTGATCTCGCCGTGGCATTTGCCCTCGGATTGCCAGGGGTTTGTCAATCTGCCTGAGCTTTATGAGAGCCAGATGCACAAGCTTGAAGAATGCAATGTGCATAAAACCAGCCACGTTGCCATGTTGATATGGAGGTAAAAAATGAGGCATCTTGCGGTGTCAAGCTAAAATGGCAGGAGAAAACTCAATTTTGGATGAATATGGAAAGAGACCAAATGATTCCTTTCAAGGATTGGTGGCAATGTGGTGTCAATGACTTGTACATACTTTTATTGTTTTAACTTTTAGCAAATAATGTGTCATTTCATATTTGAAAAACATAAGTGTATCGCTTTGAAATGATTAAAGAAAGGAAATATTGGAATTACTGACTTATTTAATGGGTGGTGGTGTTGCAGGAAGTTCAACGTCTGACCGGTTTAGTATTTTTGTTCTTTGATGCTGATATTTATTAGAAATTATTGCATTGTATAAAATAAGATTTGAATTATTTTTATCTTTTAACTTTATCCAAAAAATTAATAGAGATTTTAAATTTAATTATGAATAATTTATTTTTAACTTTAAAGATTCGTTGCCCCGTTACCTTATCTTTTTTTTTTTAATACTGTTTGTTAGTGTTAGTGGGCTCTATAATTCATTTTTTATTATAAAATATTAACTCCCCCTCCCCCTCTCCCCCTCCTCTCATCTCTCTCTCCTCCCCCACTTTCTCTCTCTCTCTCTCCCTCTCTGCCCCCCGCCCTCTTCTCTCTTTCTCCTCCCCACATTGTTTCTCTCGTCCATCCTCTTTCATCTTTGCCTTCCAGCTCCAGAACTATAGTGCGTAGTCAACACCAAGAAAAAAGGTATTTTAAGTTCAAAGTTTAGCCTCAAACGTTTGGCACCGTCGCGTCAAGTCTTGCCTCGAGCTAAAGCAAGAATTTAAGAGCTCCTTTAATTGAACACATTCACAGTATTTTAAAGAATAGAGACAACACCTAGCTTATGTTTGCTGCCCATAATAATATGAATCCCATTGAATTGCACTATTCTGTTTTGAAATATATTTACTAATAATTCGAGTGGTTCCTCTTACAAGTGAAATCCTTCTTTGTCCTCCTCATCTATCTTAATCTCCCATTGGTCACAGATTGAATGAGGACAAAATGAAAGAATATTGCTAGACCACGTTACCTTGGTTGGCTCTGAGTGCATTCATTATAAGGAAAATGGTTACAGCAGAATGTATTATACTGAGAAATGTATACAAGCTAAAATGTACATTCTGCTACTCTTTAGAATATTATATACGATGCATAAATAATACTATGCTCTAACATTTCCCCTCAAACGAGAAAGTGTAACAAACAACCTTGAGTTTAGATCTCAAAGTTGCTAATTGAGGATAAGTCGAAGCTTTTGTTAAACAGTCCGCAATTTGTCTGGAGGATGGAACATATCTAACAATTAACTTCCAAGCAAGTACCTGATCTCTAGCAAAATGTATGTCAATCTCTATATGCTTATTACGAGCAGGTTGAACAGGATTAGCAGCTATTGCACTAGCACTAATATCATCATACCGAATGACTGGAGGACATTTGGGAGATAGACCAAGCTCAAACATTAAAGAAGAGATCCAATTTAACTCAGCAGCACCATCAGCTGGAGCTCTATATTCAGACTCTATATTGGACTCATTTTCTAGGTGCCTAAGAAATGAGCGTTCCTCCCAAATACACACAAAACCCAGCCACAAACTTCTGATCATCAACACCAATTGCCCAATCAGCATCAGTAAAAGCCATGAGTCTAATAGAAGCAACAGGTTTAACATGTAAATCATAATTACATGTTCCTTACTTCCTTTTAGATAATGAAGCACAGCTTAATAATGAATAAGTGTAGGCTGTGACGTATACTGACTTAGTTTATTTACAGAATAAGATATATTAGGATGTGTGGTAGTCAAATATTGAAGTGCTCCAATAGCTTTTCTATACACTAAAGGATCAGTCATTACTTCTCCCTCACTACTAGACAATTGGCGACTAGTGACCATAGGTGTTGGAACAGGAGCACAACTAACATATTGAACCCTTTTAGCACATCAAGAGTATATTTTACTTTATTTAGATACAGCCCAAGACTGTCACAAAAAATTTCTATTCCCAAAAAATAGTGTAGTGGACTAAGATCCTTGAGGTAAAAGAGATTTTGAGGGTTTGAATAAAACTCTTCAAATAAGTTAAGTCATTACCAGTAACTAGTATATCATTCACATAGATGAGAATGAAGACAATTAAGTTACGAGTACAAAGAAAGAACAAAGAGATATCACTCTTTGAATTTTGAAAACCCCATGGCAACAATGTATTTCTCAATTGATCAAACCAGGATCTAGGAGCTTGTTTCAAATCATAGAGAGCTTTGATCAACTTACAAACATAGGTAGGTTGCTTCAAGTCCACAAAACCTTCTGACTGACATACATACACATCCTCATGCAACAACCCATTAAGGAAGGCCTTGTTGATGTCAAATTGATAGATCTCCCAGATAAAAGTAATAGTGAGCACTATACAAATCATGGCTAGCTTGAAGATTAGGCCCTTCGCTACATGCCTTTGCAACGAACCATAAGGGTTGAATTTGCTTTGGAAAAATTAATACCTCGGTCCTTATAGTTTTTTGAGTTATGGGTCTTTATAATCCTAAACTCAACTATAAGTCATTTGTATACCTTAATTTTAAAAAATTGTTGCTTTGTTACCTTGACATTTAGTCAATGTATGTTGACAATTTGTCCGCCTGTGGGGCCCAAGATTTTGCATATTTAGCAAGCCATGTATGCTGGATTAATGGCTAAGTTGGCAAATGTGTTGGTATCAATAGGTCGCATGGCATTTTGTCTAAAACAAGAAGAGATGAGGAGTACGAAGAGGCATTTAAGTCAAAGAAACACTGAAGCAAACCAAAGATCATCTTTTGCACCTTTCCCTTTGAAACCGAGTAAAGGTGCTTCTCAATGAGTAAAATGTCATGAGCAAGTTATGTGGGTATTTTTGCAAGTTCTTCATTAGGTACCAGTTGAAGAAGGAGGGTGTCATTTAGAAGTCAAGGAGCTGGAGATGTGGACTACCTACCTCCACCGAGGTATTGTTTCTAAGGAGAAATTGCACTGAGGTAGACATCATGGACTGAGAACAATCTTGGAAGAAGGTATTTCAGGTGTAAAAACTACAGCCAGGTATGCCTTAGCACTAATCTCTCTTGATCTGAATTTGTGTGGTTTGGGCATTTGAGTGTCGAGTATCAATGTCTGGGTAGATGCTGTTTTTTCTTGTGGCTAGATGATGAACTAGAGGAAAGGTTAAAGCAGAGTTTTCTTGAGCTTTAGGTCATATTGAGAGGTTGACTAAAGAGAATAAAGGGCAGTGTGGACAAAGAGAGAAGGAAGAAGAGATTGATGGCATTACACGTGGGTTGGATGAGACAAAGAAGAAGCCAAAGATGGCAATAGGAGTTTTAATATTGTCTTGGGTGTTCCTTAGGTCATTTTTAGTTGTTCCTTTATTTATGAGAATGTAGTGTATTTTTGTAATGATCACGTGGACCTTGTTAGATAAGGCTAGCATTTAAGAGGAGGTGAATTGGATGACAATAAATTTTTCTGGATATAAAAGAGTAGTATAAGCAAATAATAGAAGATTCAAGGAAGAAAAGCTTTTACACCAAAGATTTATCCTAGTTCAGCCTAACAACTTGGCCTACATCTAGTCCTCAAGATCGCTCTTGAGATTTTCAACTATAATCACAAGCTCAAGTGGGTGCTTGCAACCTCAATACAACTCCCAAGACTTGACTAGTCTTATTTCAACAACAAATCTTGCTACAATTAGTAAGTTGTTATAACTCATTTGGAAAATCTATTTTCAAGATTTTTAACTTTGTTATAAAGAAATATCAATGGACTTATGAGCCTAAGAGCCTAAGGATGATGCATTTCATTTTAAATAAATGACATTCTGATTAAGCTCTGATAATTTTTACATTGAATCTAGAAGAAATAAATAACTAAACCTGTAGATCTTCTTCTCTTGATTCTTCAAGTTCTTGGAGGTTTTGTCACATTCATGAATCTTGATATCTACACAAGTAACAAACACTTCTTCTTTTAGTTTTGTAATTATCAAAATACATGATTTAACAAAAATTGTATGCTTTTGTTTGGGACCATTGGAGATTAGAATGATTGGGACTATTGAATTTTTGGAATTTTGCAAGAAGATGGAATATATGAAGAATTGGTTGTGGACCTTTTATGCTTATGTTCCTTTATAAGAAGAATTATGTCCTTATGCATTTATGATGATGGCATATTTGGCCATGTTTCTCTGTACTATATGCACACACCCATGCATATTTAGCTAAGATGATGAAGAATGGAGATGAAGTTAAGCAGCTCAACATAGAACAATGAACAACTAAAGTGAACTTCAATAAATTACTATCAAAATAGAAAAATTAAACAAAGAAGCCTTTAAAGGTTGGCCAATAAGACAATAAAAATAATCAATATTGTTATGAAGTTACAATATCTTAGATGATGGCTCTACACAAGGCTAAAGCAACTAAACAAGGCCATAGCTAAATCACAGCTAGCATACAAAACAAAAATGATGGCTCCATACAAAACACAAAGGAATGGTGCCGGCATTATGTAAGATAGGCTAGCACCCAAGAGGAGGTGAATTGGGTGATATTTAAAACTTTTAAAAACTTAAAAGAGTGAAATGTTTTAGTATAAAGAAAGAAGATGAGATATACAAGATTTATTCTAGTTTTTATCCTCAAACTTGGCCTACATTTAATTCTTAAGATCACACTTAAAATTTTCAACTAAATTCATAAGCTTCAATGGGTACTTGCTACCACAGTACAACTCTTAAGACTTAACTTGTCCTAAATCGATCAACAAACCTTGCTATAACCTAACAAGTTGTTACAAACACTTGAAAAATACCTTCTCAAGATTTCAATGTAGAAGATAAACTTTCACAGAAAACTCTCCTAAAAAGTAGATGAAATTACAATTGAAAGCTTATAAACTTATAAAAGCTTTTTTACAATTCTTTTCAAACATGATGAATGAATGCAAGATGTTTAAGCACAATTTGAAAGCTTTTTGAATGGTAAGATGAAGATAAGTTCGCTCAATAAACAATAGTTCTCATTCAGGCTTGAAATGAATCACATATATAGTTTCGGTAGTTGATAGATCGTTAGAATAATGTTTCTATCCATTGGTGCTATTTTTTGCGAGTGACCTGCTAAATCATGCGTGAAATTGCACTCAACTTATTCTAGCAATGTATTTATGACTGATCTATCTCAT